GTTTAAGGCCATACAAGACTTGAGCAACTTACAAACATGACCATGTTTAGCTTTGGTGTAGCTTTTAGGTGGTGACATATACACCTTTTCCTCAACAAACCCATATAAGAATACATTGTTTATATTAAACTGATGCAAAAGCCACACATGAATAGTTGCAACAGCTATAAATAAACGAATTGTGACCAATTTTATAATTAGTGAAAAACTCTATGAATAATTAACCTTAGCAATCTGATTATATCTTTTTATGACCAATCATGCTTTATATTTATCCATACTACCATCAAAATTAAATTTTAGCTTATATACCCTTTTAGAGCCAATGGGTTTCTTGTCTATAGGAAGTTTCACTATCGTTAGATTGTGTGGCAATGTGAGCCAACGTCAGCAGAAATAAGGAAGAGACGAAAGGCTGTATTCCAAATCTATATCAGAATCGGCTAGTGCAAAGATGATCATTGATGCTGGGAATTCGGATAAGATAGCGCGTCCACAGAGATGGTGGGTCAGTTAGGGCTGAAGCCTTTTTTAGTAAGGGCCTCATCCAGAGCCTTATCGAATCAGACCAAAAAGGGCATGAGCGGTGGCCCCTATGTTGAGTAAGGGTCGAGAAGATGCCCCTGCTGCTAAGTTGGAGCCGGGGAAGTTAAAGTAGGACATCTGGTGTGATGTCGTCCCTATGGGTGTATTACCATGGTAATACGATAGGGTCTTACCTACGTAGAGAGAACACCGGTTTACTTTAATGACAAAGGCAGTTATTGCCATCAGAAGACTTTGGTTAGCTAAGGAGAAAACGTGTTGGCATACCATTTCTGAACGTGGTAGAAGAGTCCATAGAATGCTATACCTTGATAGCAAAGCCAACTAGCAAAGCCGATGCGAGGATCGATGGGATGCCGTAGCTTTAAGAGAGAGGGGCAGCAGAATAGAAGTAAATAGCAGAATTGTGGATAGGGAACCATACTAGTGACCTACCTAATTTTATTGTAAAAATTTTTGGCATCAATCATTGGACCATGCAAATTAGAAATAACCTTTCTAGGATAAAGAAAGAGATTACTTGATCCATTTCTATATTACTCATGATATATATAATAATTGGCATCCATTTTAAATGCATATCCCATTTTTGCGCAGCAGGGTTATGAAAATCCACGATAAGCAACAGGGCGTATTGTATGGGCCAATTGCCATTCAGCTAATAAGCCTGTGGATATTGAGGTTCCACAAGCTGTACTTCCTGATACTATATTTGAAGTAGTAGTTAGAATTCCTTATGATATGCAACTGAAACAAGTTCTTGCTAATGGTAAAAAAGGGGTTTTGGCTGAATCCCGTGAAATCATTTCGTGGAAGTTCATTGATATCTTCTTTTTATAAAGTAAATCGACTTCAATTCTTGAATAATCCACATTACTTCTACTTTTATTGCAACAAAAGATTCCTTTATATGTGGAAAATGCTTGTATCAATAATTATGATTTTACGTATGGACAATTCCTCAATATCTTGTTCATTCGCAACAAAATATTTTCTTTGCGGTGGTAAAAAAAACATGTTTTTTTGGAGAGAGATACTATTTTACCTTCACTAATCGAGTCGTAGGTATCTAACATATTCATATATAACGATTTTTCATAGAATGGTGATGAAAGGTATAACTTGTACAAATTTTTTCATTTTGCAATTCGATCCGATCCATTAGTTGTTACGACAAAAAAATGAGATAAATCCTCATTTTTTGTCAACTGGGCAACCTCTAGAAGGGCATCCTGTCTTTCCCATTCCTTCAAAAGGTTCGAAATGGACGGGATGAGAAGCTTAACTCAAATAAGGACATCCCGTCTTTCCCCATTCCTTTGCAGGCTTAGGCATGGACGGGATGAGAAAAGTTAACTCAAAGAAGGGCATCTCATCTTTCCCATTCCTTCGCAGGCTTAGGAATGGATGGGATGAGAAGATAGGGGGTGATCAATGAGCATCCATGTTTGATTAGCCTCTAAAACATCAAGTTCCTTTTACATGGCCAACACCCATTTTGCTTGAATACATGCATGCTTATAAGAATATGGTTCTTTGATAAAAGAGACATTAACTAAAAAAGTCAAATATGTTATTATGAAGGAAAGGGTAAGTTGGAGGAGTATAAGCATTACTAATAGTATTGGAAGATATATTAGTATAAGAGAAATTATAGGTATTAAATTGTTTAATGCAAGTGTCATGAACATGAGAGACAAAATCATTTAGCCATGCTGGTGGTTTTCTCAATCTCGAATTGTGTCTCACTAGCTAGGTTGTTTGAAACTGAATTGAAGAAGATATAGATGATATACTAGGTGTAGGAGTTAGCGAAAGTGTTATGTCTAATAAAAAATTAGATGGTGTTAGTTGGGAAGGTATAACATCAGTTAGTGAAACAAGTAATGATAAAGACAATTCATAATCTCTAGATGAACATGTAGAAAAATAGAATTCATATTCATGAAAAAATGATGTCTCTAGATAAATATATTATGTGATTATCAATGTCATATACTTTGTAGGCCTTTTGGCCTACATTGTATAAAAAAACACATTTAAAGGCCATCAAAAGAAAATTTATCTTTGGTAGGAAAAATGTTAGTGGCAAAATATAATGATCTAAAAACTCTAAGCCTATGATAATCTAATTGTTTGTTATATAGTTTTTCAAAAG